GTTTGACATGAATTGATCTTGAAGATGTCATTGATTACAATTATGCAGAAATCCGTATTCACACACATTCTATCATAAAGAAATAATGAGGTTTTGCCTGTTATTGATAATGATAAGGAGTGTCCTTGATTTTAGATTTAGTACAGGGTAATTAAAGAATATAGTTGTATAAAAAACGTTTGCATTCAGTCCCACCTTATGGGCTGATGTGGCCACACCAAAAGCTCCACTCAAAGCACAGGTGATGATTATGGATTCAGAAAAGAAAACCTGGGATTGCAGCAAGTGGGCGTGTCTCTGTGGTCAGAGGAGCCATGCAGAGCAATGGTGTCGCCTGTCTCAAAAATGCATGTATTGCGCCCAAAACAACCTTGGCCTTAGATGTTAAGATTGCATGCCAAATCTACACTGAAACACGGTTGAAACTTGAAAGTAGTAAAATGTTTTTGAGGTATCCAGTCAAGAGCAGAAAAAAAATACATGAAGGGATCATTCAAAAAGCCTTAAGCTTAAATAATGGATAAAAAGTGTAATTTTCATTGTAATCACCCCAGCAACAATTGTTGGCAAATGTATGAAACTGTGAAATCATGCCCAGAGCCTTTTCACTTCTGAACCTCAGGAAATCTAATCCCCTAAATAGACACTCTACCAAACAGATGTTTCCGTGTCGCAACAACACAGTATCCCGTGACATTTCTACTGTTTGAATCTGTCTGGGCTTTGTCATGGGGGGCCGTGCGTGCAGAGGGGGTCCAAGTGTCCATCTTTGGTGTAATATCCATTTCCCCGTGGTGCAGCTTGTCTCATAAGGCTGCCTGTCTTTCATCCGAGTCCAGCTGAAGTGACCTGTGCAGTGTCTGGACTTATTGCCTTTGAGTGACAGACAGCAGGCTCTACCCCCACCCCCCTCACCCCCTTGCCACACTGGTATTGAGTGTTTGCATGTAGACCAGGAAAGCCAGATTCATGGCATTGTCCAATTAATATCCTTATTGTTAAAAATGCATTTAAATGCCAATAATCTGGATTGTTTCTAGTCTGATGTTCGCCCTTGTATATCACTGCCAGATTTAGATTGGAATTGATTCTTGCCTGTAAATAATCCTGTAAGTAATCAGTATTTCCCTGCATTCAAGTCTCCTCTGCTCTGAAAATGTCTGGTTTACCTTCCATCAAGACTTTAATATGCTGATAGGGCCTTTTAAAGCTAGAATACCGAACTTGGAAACAACAAAACAATAACAATGTAATACAATACATGTCACATGTCCCTGTAGCTCTCAAAAGTGTCTGCTTCTATCACTACTTTTTTTTTTCATAATACTCAAAAAATACAAAAAAAGTATTCATGAAACCATGAAGTTAGTTACTCAAGATTAAATTGATATATTAAGACTATACTGATTGATATCGAGCTGCTCTGTTTGGTTGTTTTGTGTTGCCCAAATTCTCTGCCCTTGTTAATACTGTAGTGTACGTGACACATGAAGGAACCAAACGTCTCCTGTGCGCGCGTTGTGTAATTAAGTCCAGCGCATGAAGTGTTCTGTACTAAATCAAGTAATCAAGGATCTCAACCGCCTCCTCCATCATTTAGTAACTGGATCTGCTCTCCCTGTCCCACAGCTAATCTGGGTTTAATCAGACCATTCGCAAGATTGACAGGGCTTGTAGCTGCTGCTTTATTAAATGCGCTGGACAATTTAAGGCTCACTGGACAGAAGCCTTCATAATGGGACAATGTCATAGATGAGTGTAACTGTGTTGCTGCATGTATTTATGTCAAAGAAAGAAAAGCTCCACTCAGCTTTCTGCCCAATAAGGCTGCAGTTCTCCCACGGGCTGTTAGCGGTCGGTCTGAGGTTCCTCTGTGGATTCCAGGGGGTTGTTTTGTGGTTGTAAATTGGGCTGGTCCTGGGAGAACCGCTGTTATTCTAGGAAAGGCTTCTCCTCGACTGTTGATGCAGTCTCCCAGGAGCAGGACGGCTCATGGCGCTTCGTAACAGGGGCACCTTTGCTCTCATCTCGCAGCCAATAGGCCGTTTGTTTCATCAGCTCTCCACATCATATTGGACTGCACACAAGAGCTCAGGCTCAGCACAGACTAGTTGAACTAGTTCTGCAGGTAATTGTGTTTCTGAAGGAAAAAAGAGAGATGCTAAGTATTGGTGTTAGATCTCATCTTGCATTTTGAAAGTCATGTAACCGTTACATATTCTCCACATGTTCTACACTTATCTCCTACAAGCTTAAAGTAACTCAATCTATACTCTTAAGGAGACATATCAAATCAACCTTTTGAAGCTTAACAGTATTATGACATTGTTCCATCTTCAAATGCAGACATGGAGTTGTTTTATAGACATGTCTAGTTCTACGAGAATGATGCAACTTTTGAAAGTAGTGCCCTCAAATGAGTTTTGGCAAGTTTGTTACAACTGTATGGCTGTATTTTAAAACAGGTAATTTTAGAGAAAAAAGATACACATTCAACTCCTCCCTCTGGTGGAAGCGAGTTACAAGCAGAATAATTTTTACCCTTCATACTTTATTACTCCATACATTTTGTACTTTAGCAGTCTCAAACATGACTGGACAGTAAATTTCAATATAATGTTTGATCCATCCATCCATCCATTTTCTACCCTTTAATCCATTTCTGGGTCAGGGAGGTGGCAATCAGAGATGCCACCCAAGTCTCATAGCACCAGCCCCTCACTGACCCTCTGCAGGTGGTGAGTCCACAGGAGGACGGCTGCTCTGAGTGTGAGCATAGCCTTGATCTTTCAGTGGGGACTTTGGGCAAAGTGGGGTTAAGTGTCTTGCCCAGGGACACAACGACAGCAGTCATCAGTGGGAGTCGGTTTGATGTCCAACAATAATGCATCTTTGTTATTCTTTAAGCTCATCTTTTTACAGAGAGTTATGACTTTTGTTATCATTTGTCAGCCGTCCATGGTGCACGTCTAACAGTGCACTAAAGACTAGGGAAGTTATTATTTCTTTTATTTTTTATTTTAAGTTTTGCAGATCGTCTCTGAATTCCATTTGGCATTTGGTGGTCTGTGTGTTTGTTATGTTGGTCAAATTGATAAATAACTGAAAACAAAAATGACACTGCACTGCAGGGTAACTGGTAGACTGCAGTTCTAAAATGTTAAGCTTTTCACTGACCATTCCGATAATGATGATTACTAAAGAACAATAAGAAACTTGCTCATCAAGCACACAGAATAATTGCGAAACGGAAACTTGTTTCTGCGTGACACCCACACTGCACTCAAAGCTGTGCGGGTGTCGGCCTCTTTTTACAAGGTCATTTAGGGAGGTTTTTTAATGCAAAATACTTGACTTACTAAAAGATGATAATCAATATTTGGGCTGCAATTAACAAATGTTTTCATAATTGATGCATTTTGCGAAATTGTTTTGTTTAAAAGTTGTTTAAATCCAGAAAGTTCAATGAATATGGGATTTTTGTACATTTGACCAAAACGAAGCCCCCTGGAGAACATGTTCATAGATGACTTGTTAGACGTTGGATGATCATCCTTAGTATCCAGTTAATTGACGTTCTGTAAGTAATAAATAATTTACTGATGACGTTAAAGTGTTGTTTTTGCATTGTGTTTTGTGAGGGAATTTGTTCGGTGCAATAAAGTGCACACTTCATACTTAGTCCAAGTGCCATGACTGTGCCACACTTAACCCGTGCTTATTCATACCAGTAATTACATTTTCTCAGCCCTGGATTACGCACACACATATTGGCACAGGGGCATTTTGTGGCTGTTAAGCTCCTGCCTGTTTTTTTCACACACCCACTGACAAGGCAAACCCAAAATGGCATATTTATTTGGACTCTTAGCGGCTCTACAGGAATGTGTCGGCTGTGCAAATGACAGACCCCGGCGCGGTGCGGGCCTCTTAGTGATTTACGATCTTTGTGCTCAGAGACTCTCCTCATCGGTGTCCACTCGGTCCACACGCAGACCCGGACACGTCCCGGACCGCGCTGGCCTACTTCACTTCACTAATGTCTTCCTGTGTTGGAGCAGATACATCCTCGTTGTTCCAATTCATCACCTCTCACTCCCTCTGTATGCGTTGTACACAGAAGAATAGGCATGTTCCAGGAGCTTTTTCAACCAATGCAATTCTATATGTATTTGTCTTGCTTTTCTTGCCTGGAATCTGTAGTCATACATCTTTTATGCTTTGCAAGGCCATGTATTGTTCATTCTGCATTCTAATGATGTGTAATTAGTGACGTGTTCAGCTCTCTGGTTTGTCTACTTTTATTGGAATTTACTTTTTTTTGAGTAATCAAGAAATCTATATCAATTTAAAACATAGTCAGGCCATTACCAATTCATTTATGTCACATCTTAATTTTTATTGGAAGTAATATTAAATCAACTTTAGTTCAAAAAGGTAACTCAACTTATTTTCATTTTGTAAGATATGCTATAAATTGTAACTTGATTAAGAAAGAAACTTGTGAGTCACTGTTTGATGCCTTGGGCGGAGAGCTGGCTGAGTGAGGGCGGGACCTCTTTTTCACTTTCTGTCTAAAGATGTGATAAGCCATAAATATATGCACGTGACAAAACCAAACTTTTTGAGCATTAGGAAGTTGGTTCTGATTTCTAGTTTGTGTGATTAAAGTTGGGTACCCCAGCTTTAAATACAAGTATAATCATGTCACATTGATTCAAGTGCATAAAATATTGTTTTACTTCAAAAAGGTTCTGAAATGAGCAAAAATGTCACTGTCCTTGAAGCATGCTTATTTAGTGCAGTCAAAATATGCTGAAATCAAGATGGAGGGAGAATAACACTTTTCTCACTGGCATCACGTTTTGTTAATTATCTTGTTTGTCTTTTTGTATTTGTTTTTAATGTAAAAAGTTTCACTGAGATGGGGAAAGTTCGATGTATGGTCCTTTTCCTCTGCAGAGCGCGCACTTACCCGTCTGTGTCTGTCTCTTTTTCAGGAGCCGCTGGGCAGAAAGTGAAGGTGGAGGCAGAGGTCCTTTCTTACCCGGGACAGACAGTCAACCTGCGCTGTGCCTTCACTGATACCACAGGGGTGCAACTCACCATGGTAACTCATTATACACTTGTCATTGTCTTTCATATTGTGGAAATTTGGCGTACTTATCTAAGGGAACTTTAAGGGCATGACACATTGGTTTTCACAAATGAACTTGGCCAAGTGGCCCGATCGTCGCCATAGGGCTGTAAAGGTTTATTTTTTCAACTGTGCCAGCCCAAATGTGGTGTAGTGCAGCGCTCAGTCCAGCTAGTGGCGCTAATACTAACTTCAGGGACTATCTCTAGGCCCGTGTAAGTTTTTGTTTCTCTTCCTGTTCACACTCGGCTACTGTGCGCCAACCAGCTCCCGCATGGATCGCGTTCTTTGCATCAGAGTCAATGTGTACAAGTGTTGTGCAGCAACTTTGTGGGTAGTGTGTGTGTTTGGGTATGGGCGCGCGATTTATAGTAAACTGCCTTAGCGCTGAGAAATGAATGAATGAAAACCACCAATGAAAAGTGTGGTGTACGAGCAGAGCGACCAGAGCAGGATACAGTATGCTGAAGTGTTGTTGGAATAGCACCACAATTTGACAGCAAGGGTCAAAACAGAAGGGAGTTATGCCCCTTAGGAAACGCTTCCCTTTGGCCATTGAATGACATATCTCCCCTGTGCCCCTCGACCACGTTCCAGGGGATAGTATGAGTCTACTAGGTAAAGACCCTAACCCTTACACCTCATCCCCCCCACAATCCCCACCACATCAAACCCCACATCTGGGCTTTATACAACTGTGCTCAGGCCCACCACTTTCAACCGTGCTCAAGCTCAGTTGCCGCAGTAACACGGCACCTAAAGCCTAGATCTAAATGCGTTCTGGGCCCAGGCCCACTTTAGACTGGGCGCAGCCTAAGGGACCAAACACAAGGCAAGGGCAACAATCATCTCTAGAATCCAAGAACTAAGGAGGAGCTTAAATTAAAAAGATGCGTAAACAAAATTCACACCAAAGGGAGAAATGCTAACCTGAAGCATAACTATAATATGCTTTGGTCTCTCACTCCCCCCTCAGAGTCCTTGCGACCAGTGGTCTCTCCTGGTGTATAATATGGCCTCCAGCACCCAGTTTTGTCCTTTGGCTGGCCTGACAAAAACAAGTGTGAGTGATGGTCCAAAGGAAAATGACCTAAAGTGAAGTAAAAGAAAATACGAACACTGTGGAGTGGTGGCGGAAGAATCCACCTCAATGACCATGAGATGCTGTGCTATTATGTACACTACATATTTTTTTACAATAATATATTTTAAATAATCTCTCCCCTTGGCATAACTAATACTAATAATATAAGTGTTTACCATCAGCTTGGTCCAAAAAGGGTTAAAAGGGTTTATTTATTTATTTATTTATTTATTTGAACAGTATTAATACTGCACAAAAGGAGTGGGCTGAAGCAAAAGCTTATTAGCACCGCACCCCAAAGCTAATTACAATCGAAATTTACATATTGAATATAGTTCAGAACAGGGATAAAAGGCACACAAGAGCTACATCTGCTCATACTGAACAACAGAACAATCACAATCAATTTATCAATTTACAGAGTAAAGAATATGTCATGACATTAACTTTGACTTTACTTACCAGAGAGAGACCAGAAGGACTCACTGACAAAAGGACAAAATAGATTTTAAGTTTATGTTTCAAGGCAGTTTCAATATACTTTGAACTGTTCTTAATCTTATTACCAGAGTGAGACACAACAACAGTCTGGTTAAGACAGATCTCCACAAAGCAAGAGACACAATATCACCATATTATTATTTTAAATATACTGACAACAAGTTACTGTGAACAAATTAAACCTATTTCGCTCAAAAAAAAAAGAGATGTTGCAGCTAGAAAGCAGAATATTTCTTTATATTTATTTATTTATTATTATTATTATTTTTGTATTTTATTTAATTTATTTTTTTATTTTTTTCAGAGTAGGCAGTGACCCTATGTAGTGTTGTGCGATAAAAAGCCAGGGTGTAAAGCCAGTTGGAGACGGCAGTGACTCCTCACCAACAGACCCCACCCAGCTGCCCTATCATTGAGTTTCTATGGTTGAGAAGCCTAAAGGGCAAACATACACAAAACTATAATTTAAACTCTTTTTCCGAGGCCGCATTTTTAAAACCATCAGATCTATTGACTAATTATAAAAAAAATCTAGTGATGTTTTTGTGGGAATCGTCTAATCCCACCCCTGGGTACGTATTATAAAGAAGGTGCAAAACAGTTTAGATTTATTTCATTGACTTTTGCTCCTTCTTTACTTTCCAAAACAACCTTTTAATCGACCAAATTACAGCCCACAGTAATATTCCTTGGGCCAGTAATGTGTTTCATCGCATTGAGCTTAATGTTTTACTACCGAAAACAAACAATACTAAGCTGCTGTAGTTGGCTGTAGGGGATTCAGTATGGTAATGGCCTGCGCACTTCTTAGCTGCATTTCAATGAAGTCGAAGCGCGCACTGAACTCTCTTGGTTCCACTAAGAGCCTCTGAGATGGGAATCCTAAAAACGCCTTATCCATATTCATACCAGCTCCACTGGTGATTATGATGCCGCGTACACTTGCCCAAAGTGCACCATATAATGTTCAAATATTGTCTCGAGTGTCACTTAGCGCTGCTGTGATGGATGAGTCCTGCGGCTAAGCTAAAGCTAAGTAACGACTGGAGCTGGAAGTAATAATTTGCGAGCGCACGAATGACCATAATTAGTATATTTACAAAATAACAGTTGCAAGAGGAAAGCTGAGAACTGAGATTATTTATTTATTTTTGCAGCTGTTTGGGGAGTTTATTAGAGGGAGGAAAAATCACAAATGTGCTGAAGTAACTATTTTGATATAATTGTGATTAGAGGGAACATATGTAATATGGGTAATGTGTTTACAGGTCAAATCATATTTGACTTTTCTGAACAACAGTTTCAAGTTATTCTCAATTTAGAATTGGAATACAATGTTGCTTGTTGCTTTTTTCACAAAAGAGTCATACGTAAGAGTTTGTACCACTTCTATTTAAACTCCAGAAGTTGGTTTGCATCAGTAATCAGCTTTGTCAGATTATGACAGCATAGACGGGGGACATATTCCATACGGTCTGTCTTTGCCTTATGGGGGACATTAGAATAAAGTTTGAACAAAGAGCTTTTAATGTGTTAATTGATTTTCCGTCTCATCCTCTACTTTTTGAGTGATTCAGGCAGGATCAAGGAATTCATATTCCACTGCGCTGAAGTTGCCCATGCAACCATTCCCATCACTGTTCTATTCCCATTTCACTGGTACACACGGGTACTTTTTTCCTGAGTTTTTATGTCCTCATTATTTGGCATTTTGGAATAAAGAATACAAATCTGCTGCTTTGCCAAAAAATGTTTGGGGTGTTCTTGGTAACATGAGGCAAATTGGGCAGGTGCAAATGCATAGATGGATAGCTAAACTAGCTAAACTTTTTAGTATGAGGGCCACTGTAGTTGACTGGCTATGGGCTGTTCTGGGCCTTAGTTTGGACAAGCCCTGGCATAGATAAGTCGGCAAAACACAGCCATCACATTCTCTCATACAAGTATGGCAAATGATAATTCTTAGTTATTGCAATAGCAAAAAATCCACATGGACGTTTATCATAATTTATGGATATTGGTTTAGCCAATACACTATGGACCAATGACTATAATTATTGTTGAATTTGCTTGTGAACTAATTGTTCCCTTTCGAGATGTCTGATGCTGTGTTTTTTTATTCAACTATTGTTAAATAAATAAATACATAGTTTAACTTTTAAGATATCAAATTTCCATTTCTCAAACAGGACATTTACAATAGTGTATCCTTTCTTATCTCCTACCTGTCTCATCCTCTAATCCAACTCCTCTGACTGTTCCGCACCAGGTGACATGGATTTACGAGCCGAAGGAAGGAGAACGGATCAACATCGCAGTCTTTCACCCGAGCTTCGATCCAAACTACCCCGAGTCTCCAATGAAGGGCCGCGTCAGTTTCGCCCCCAGCCCCCCCAACCTGGCCAGCCCCTCCATTCAGATCCAGGACGTGCGCATGACTGACGAGGGGAAGTACATCTGCGAATTCGCCACCTACCCCAGCGGCAACGAGCAGGGCATCACCTACCTGGTCATGCTGGGTGAGTCCGCTCTTACTGCAGGCTGCTCAAGCTACTGCGCTCAAGTCCATTGTCATTGAAGCACTATACTGGTTTGGATACCACAGGGAGGATTTTAAAATGCTCTGTTTAGATAATAAGCTGATGATCCATATCTTGTTTGCTATAAGTAGCTAGACACAGAAGTACAGGAAACCTTCAATTTGATACGATTCAGACATGAAAACAAATTTTGTGACTTTTTCTTCCATCTGTCCTTACACATTTTTGTTTTTCACACTGTTCTAACTATTAGACAATAGCATTTTCGATAGAAATTGAATACTGCCTTTAACTGTTCAGGAAAGGACGCATTTTTTCCTAAATGTGTAAAATGTAATATTCATACATGCTGAACATCTACTTATTTGTACTTATTAGTTAGTACTAAGTTTTTTGACAACTCTTGCTAAGGTTTGCTCAATTTTGGCTAAACATCTGATTGAAAGATGAACTGTTCTTCTATTATTGTATCGTTCTTTCATCATGTCATATTTACATTACTGTGTTGAAGTGTGGGGAAACTGCTACAAATCCCACTTACAGCCTCTGATCACGCTGCAGAAAAAGGCCATAAGGATTGTCTCTAATGTTCACTACAAGCATCATACTCACCCACTGTTCATAGAGTTGGAAGAATTTAAATTACAAGATTTGATTCACTTTAGAACTGCTCAGATTATGTTCAGGGCATCAAAAAACTCTCTGCCTCCAAATGTTCAGAATTTATTTCGTGACAGAGACGCGCATCATAGTCATAGACTAAGAGGAAATAAAAATGTATACTTGCCTAAATTTAGGACCACTTTAAAGTCAATGTGTGTCTCAGTGCGAGGAGTTTCTCTATGGAATACCTTAAAGGATGAACTTAAAAATAGTACAAATCTGACTCAATTTAAAGCTTTGTTTAAAAAAGATGTACTAAAGAAATACAAGGAGGAAAGAGAGTGATGCCCTCAGCACAGAGCGAGTGATGGCAGAGAGGGGTGGGGTCAGAGTGTCCGGGCCTGTGTGTGTGTGTGTGTGTGTGTGTGAATGTGCGTGAATGTGCGTGTATGCGCATGGGTTGTTTTTTGTTGTTTTTTTTCTATATATATATATATATATATATATAATTTTTTTGTTGTATACCATTGGTGGTAGTATCGTATTGAAATTCTTGGCAAAATGTACAGTAGTATTCTTGTATACCATTGGTGGTAGTGTTGTATTGACAATAGTACTTTGTGATGTGATTTCTGGATTATTTTGACGGGTGTTGTGTGGGTGAGAGGGTTGGGCTAAAATAAGCATAGTGCTTCATCCAACCCCTTTTCAAACCTTGAACATGTGTCTGAACATTTGTCAAATGTGTCTTCTGTGCAGGTTTTGAAATAAAGAAATAAATTCAAACTGTGATTTTAAGTCAATTTAAAAAAAAAAAAAATTATTAACAGCAAAACAAAATGCCTTACAAGAGATAGAGGACTACTAAAATAAAGCATATCAGAAATTAAATGAAAAAGAAATTTGTAGGAAGCCAGGTCTCTGCAAAGTGTCCTGGATTCAGGAGTCATGTAGTAGCGTAATCTTGTGACTTTGGCGCCTTAGATTTCTAAGTTTCAGTGCATTATAATGCATTTTTAATGTAACAATAGTTTTGTTGTTTGTATTTAACTTTTAATTGCAGCATTTTAGGTCTGGTTTTACTTGGACTGAAAACATTTGAAACCAAAAACTAGAACCGAGAAAACATGTTTTGCAGGGGATTACGAGGTTATTTGGCAGGTGATTCTGGAAGAGCCCTGTAGTTCTACTGGGAAGTTCAGCCTCATAAATTATGTTTGTATCATATCACACGGAAAAGGAATCGAACAAAAACATGTTTTGTCATTTTAATATCTATGTAAAATTTACAAGTTTGGTGTTACTGAGTCTTAATTTGTACTATTTTTATTATTGTCGAAAAACTAGATTGTGCTTCACGCACCCTAGCTTGTTTGATTTATGAAGTAATAGGCTGCTAATTTTCAAATCAATATGTAGGAGAAGGCTGCTGAACAAAGTGCTTAATTTGATTTAGAGTCTTTGGTAAACACTGCATTCGCTTTATGAAATCCGTGGGAATCATTTTCAGATTTGTTTTTTTTCTGCGTTACAGTCAATGATCCTTTATTTAACCTCAAATTACTTCTGCAGCACAACTTTTGTTTGAAGAGCTGTTATTAAAATCCACATTAAATCAAATGTAGTTCTCAAAATAGTACTTTATCTCTAATGTTGATGAAAATGTCTGAAAATATGCATTAATTATCGATCAAGAGCGATGAGGCAGAGTTATATCTAATTGTCATTCAAGACCTATTTTTTTGGAGTAGGTTAAATATAATTGCTCCTGTGATTAAAAAAAAACGAAGAAAAAAAACATCACTGACATTTGTACAAGATTTAGTTTTTTTTTCACCAATCGACAATCAGTTGATATAATGTAATGCATTGAAAATGGTCAGAAACATCATCTCGAATATTCCAGGGCTCTCTGGACGTTAAGTGCAATTCCAAAAAAAATCTTGAAATAAAGTAATTTGAAATCATGAAAAGCATTATAGTTGTTTACTTTCTGCTTCGGTCTATAAACATATTGACATAAAACTTATACAAGTTTTTAAATGGTCCAATAAATAAAACACAGTTCACATAGTCCACATTTGTTCTACATCTTGCTGCTTTCAGCCGCCAATAGTGCACTTTGAAGTCAATATCTATATGCAAAGCACTCCCCTAGTCTTTCCTCCGGTTCTCTTCCGCCCCCGAAGGCCTGCGGGTTAAAAGCAAGTCCAGAGTGTCTTGATTGCTGTTTTAAGTGGCGTTGTCAGATCAATTGTGTTCCTGTTAAAGCTACAGAACCACTGCCCTAACCTTGACCGTACCATAGCCCCCCTCTTCTGCTTTACCTGATAACACTTTATATGGAACTAGAGTGAGCATCGTCATGGTAACCCTAAAGTGACATATCTACTATTAAAGGTACAGTAAGCTATTTTGTTAGCTTAGCCGTAGCACCAACTGGAAACCACTCTCATTTCTATTACTATTTGAAAATGCATGATAACTTCACTACTTTTAGGCAAAGCAAGTTTATTTGTATACCACAATTCATACACAAGGCAACTCAAAGTGCTGAACATAATAAGATAGCATTAAAATCATATATAATCACAGTACATTAAAAAGATGGGGATTTAGGGACATTTTCCCACAATAAAAAGAATCACTGACTGCATCTTTAAAGAATTTGCACAGATATACTTAAAGCTGGAGCAACACACTTTTTTCAAAAAACACAAACAAATCTACAATGAAAAAAACTGACTGTTTCAGAGCTCACTAGTTTGGACATGCATATAATTTTGAGTCTGTCACATCTTTGACAACAACAGTTTGGCTCTTAACAGCCGCAGCCGCCCCACTGTGGCCCCTGGTGTTTCCTTAGGTCTCCCTTCATAGTATTAACCAGGTGCTGCAATGCATGGATTGTGAGATCTGACCAGATCGGGCCTGTCCACCTTTTTGTAAAGAGAACAAAATTTATTATTATTTAAACAAAACAATTGGCTACCCCAGCTTTACGTTGATAATTGAATTTGACTGATTCATCTTTTGTGCTGATCTATGTTCTACTAAGCAAATATACTTGTCTTATTTTCAATTTAAATGTGCTTTAAAATGTTACTGTATAGAATTGAAGTGGCATAATGATCAATGCTTTTTGCGTATTGAATGTATTGAAACACATTGTTGCAGTGAAGTCATCAGAAATTAACAGAAGAAACAGTAACATTCTCTGCATTGACAAATATACAGTAACATTGTGTAAATATAAACATTGTAATCAATAAACCTCCCCTTCGTGTTTTTAATTTCAACCATACCTTCTAAAACGTGAGATGGCCACAGAAACGCCTCTAGTTCCTTTACAAGCAGCTCTATAGCGTGAGCCTCCACTCCCCTCAGGCATGTATTGATCAGGTTGCTTGTCATGCCTGCTCCACGCTGTCATCTTCCACGGCTCAGATCCGAGGAGGAAGTGGTTCAGAGAGAATATCCCGCTGTGAACGAAATGTGGAGCAAAGCAGGAAGTCGATAATTATCAATGGTCAGTGACAGGAGAGCTTTGTGTGGGTAATAAAGGCAGAGTCATTTAAAACGGTTGGATTTCATTTGAGTTTGAGGCCATTTGGACAATTTTTCTGGCATTGCGTGGTAGTGACAAATTCATTTTTAAATCAGTCTAGAACATTACATCTGGATGAAAGTGGAAACATCTCGATGCTAAAAAGCAGCTCTTGATCTATCGTCAAATACTTAATTTTGAAACCGAGAGTGTCTGATTTTAGTGCTCAGTTTTACTAAAAGAGGTAGACTTCACACATCTCTTCTCTGACAGGTGTGTAGGAGTGGGCGCGCACTAGGTGGCCAAACATGAAAGAAAGGATGACACCCGCACACTTTCCAACTTGCAAACACCAGTGGTTTATTAGCAACGTTTCGGCCACAGGCCTTCCTCAGGCAAAATATACAAATGGAGGTTGGGAGCCATCTTAAATAGGGAGGGGCTGACAACGCCCCTGGATGTAATCAACTATACCAGATGACCAAAAAACTTTCACAAAACGTCAAAAAAAAAAACTCAAAAAGTGGAAATCACCAATATATACATGATGCATGAAGAAAAACATATGGAAGCAGACATACAGGACAGCTGATCAAGAAATGGCTGTCCTAATACATACATTCCTACATGTATTCTAAAATGTGTATTCTTAAAATGTGTATTCTTAAAATGTGACACACGGCAGTCTATTTACAAAAAGACATTCAAGACAAGCTCATCGTTCAGGCCTTTTGGTGTGAGGGTTTGCAGTTTGTGTATCCAAAAAGCCTCTCTCTGTTTGAGAAGCTTATCATGGTTACCCCCCCTCACAGGAAGAGGAACATGCTCT